TATTAATATTCAAGATTATCAACATTATAATTCAGGATGTTTTTGACTGTTTCCCTTTTTAGTTTTTTTAGGAATTATCTTATTATTTTAATATAAATATTTAATATTATCAAGGACATTTTCACAGTATTTCCTGTCTTATGTTTATTTTTAAATTTCATTTTAGACAGGAATTAAATAAATCATTATTATTTTTAATCAACATTCAGTACGATCAATATTATTAGTCATAAGCTCTGACATTTCTCACATTATTTCCTATTATATAGAAAGTCTTTCAGTTTGGCCGCAATTAACAAAATAATTAGTAAAAGAATCAATATTATCAACATTAGCACTTTATTTTCAATTATTATTTGCACTTTAAGCTGAATGCTAGTATCTTACAATGAGTAACTAGTGAAATATAATGTGCCGTCATCATGCCAAAGACCACCTCAATTATTTATTAGAGGTTAGCTATTAAACTTATTGTTTAAATATGTGTCCTTTAAACAGCACTTGGGAGATATTACAAAAATAATTAATATTTCACATGAGTAATTTCATATTAAAGTCAATATTATTCAACTCAATGTGGTGCAAAATATGTTTAGCATTGTTTTATTTGATAACGTTCTCACGGTCTTCAATGCATATAATAACATCTATATTTATTCAAGCGTTTATACTAAATATTTATGCATCTGTATAGAATCATCGACTAAACCACCGCAGTTTTTACAGTAATATAAGTCTAACAACACACTTCTTGAGTGCGTTTTTACAGTCACAATTTAAAACAACGTTTCACTAGTTAATATACATACCAACATGAACTAATTATGAACAATAGCATTTATTAATAATCAGAATGCATCATTTACTAAGGCATAATTAAAGTCTAAACTCATGCTAACAAGATTTACATTGACTAAACATGAATAAATACTGTAATAAATGTATTGTTCATTGTTTATGTTAGGAAATACTCAAATGCAACAACTTCTATTACAGGAGTTTGGTGCAAATATCTAAAAGCTCTTACATTAAGCAGCATTTATTAGATGAGCATTTATTTTCAGACATGAAGAGTCAAAATGAAGTGAGTTTTTGATTAAAACAAGCAAAATAATCTGCCAAAGGGGTGAATAAATTAATATTATACATCCTTTAGACATAACATTATTTCACTCACCCCATTGACACATCATTTTGCTTGCTTTAATCCAAAACTCTCTTCATTTTGACTCTTAATGTCTGAAAATAAATCAATATGTTGTGCTCATCTAATAAATGCAAGAATTTTGAGATATTTAGACTAGAAACGAGCCCAAAACCCTTCATAAGACGAGCGTTTTAACTTGATTTTGGGGTGAAATATGAGCATATATGGAGATAACACTATAAGCCAGATGTCTGAGGCTCATCCTGATGGTGGCGCTACTATTCTGGGGTGTTGTTGTACAGATGCCTGTACCGTATGCCTGTGCCGTACAACACATATAATAATACCAACAACACAAGCTACAGATATACAGTACACACTGCATGCTGGAGAGCATTTAATCGACGTCATATATCGTGTGTGTGTGTCGCAGTTACCATTGTAGTGTTATACGTGCGGACGAACTCTGCTTTCTACCCATGTGTGAGAAGCTGTGTGTGTGAGAATACACTGCAAAAATGCTCCTTAGGGTCCTGTTTCTAGTCTAAATATCTGAATATTTGTAAATTAAGAAGCGTTTATTAGGCAGGTGAGCAATATTGTGTTGCTTTCAGAAGCAGCGAGTCAAAATTAAATGAGTTTTTCCACGTAAATAGTCATTTTAAAGTCATTATTTTGCTTGTTTTAAGGAAAAGCTCTCCTCATTTTGACTCATTATTTCTAAATCAACACAATATTTAGTGCTTGTCCTGAAAATGCTTCTTGATTTAAAAGTTTTAAGATATTTGGACTAGAAACTCTTAGGAAAAGCTTTGTTTGCAGTGTGTAAACGTCACAGAATGTGTTTTTAATCCAGAAATGTTGGCGTACTTTAATTGAGGAGTGTGTTTATTAGACTGTTATGACACCGTTATAAACATGACATGACGTTCAGATGTGAATGAGATTTTATGCATGCTTATAACAACTGTTATTGGTGTCAGTTTTGTCATTTTAAATGCAAAGATGCCATCGTTTGTTATGACAACTTGACATAAATACATCACAACCTGTTTTTGTTCTTGTCAACTTGACGTTACCAAGACAGCAAAACAACAGCAACAGCATCATTAATATATTTCTAGACCTCGACTATGGTGGGACAAGCAGAATTAAATCATGAAAATGTCATTTAATATTAATGATCCTGTTATGAAACTACTTGACAGATTGTCGACGCTTTACTGAGCGATTTTAATGACAAATTCAGTTTGTTCCACTAAAAAGTGACTATAAAACACTTCTAATGTCCTCATGACAATCATGTTTATGACAGATTTATGACAGTTGTCTTAAACATGACATTGCTGAGCGAAAGACACTAGTACAGTACATCAGCTAAAGCCTTTCCAGTCCTCTTAGTGTGGATGACGGAGAGAATTGAAAACCGTAGTGTGGACATGGAGCGTTTGTAGACCAAAATGTATCCGGATTAGTGTACTGTAGGTGCAGCTTTAATAACAGTTGTTATAAGCATGCATAAAATCACTGTGAATATACATCATAATAACATAACCGTCTTCTAAACACCTGCTTCAAGTGAAGTCTCTCAGTGTAAACTCTGTAAACTTTACAGAAGGCCTCCACAGGCACTGCATGATGTCCGTCTGATGAAGAAGATGTGTGTGTGTGTGTGTGTGTGTGTGTGTGTGTGTGTGTGTGTGTGTGTGTGTGTGTGTGTGTGTGTTATCCTCATCTCCCCGCCCCCCTCGCAGTAGTGCTTTGCCTAGATCTGTTCTGGGATTGACTGATCGATTGATCGATTGCTTGTTTTGAACATATCCAGGAGCTCTTCCAGAGATTACACATGCTAGATTTAGAAGAAAACAAGACAGACTGAGAATAACCAGAGTCTCTATTTCCTCACCCTGACTCAACAGACCATCTCTGAGGGAGAATCGTGGAAACGAGTGCTTTATTACGCTGTTTTACGCTAATGAACACTTAAAGGGATCGTTCACCCAAAAATGGAAACTCTGCATTTACTGTTATTGAGTTTCTTCCTTCTGTTGAGCAGAAAAGTAGTGATTGGATCATTTTACCAACCTTCGAGTCTGAAAATTCACTACTGCATTTTCTAGGAGACTATTTCTGCAGTCGTTATTGTATTTTTCGCAACTAATATAATGTAAAATATTGCGTTAGAAGGTTACTCACGGTCAGGAGGTGGATTTTAGCTCAAATATCCAAAATATTCCTCATACCCGACATGAATTAGAAGCGTACAGCCTGAGCTCACGAGGAAACGTAACTATTTTATGCATTCGTCAGAAAAGCTGCTTATTTCTACGAATTCGTACAATTTATTTCGTGTAAAAAACATTGACTTCTTTTAAAAATGCGTTCCTCCAAACCCCACCCCTAACCCCACCCCCATTGGCCAATGAGAAAATTGTACTAAAATTCGTACAGTTTAATGAGTTAGCAATTAAATGAATAAGTTACGAATTTCTGTGAGATATTGTTGATGTATTAGCTCCTCCTCCTTGTGTCGTGTATTCGTCCATGAGTTACAGGAAGTTTGAATCATTTTACCAACCTTCGAGTCTGAAAATT